CTGTTAAAACAGACGTAATGTGAGTCTGACTAGCTGAAATCAGTGTCACAATAACTCTTACATTTTCTGAGGAGTAAAAGCTCTTTTCTATCTCAGCTTTTTGTTCTTTGGCTTGACTACAGCAGCTTCCTATAACCCTCAGGTCCTCCTCTGTCTGAAATAAGTTGTTTCAGCACCTTTCCCTTTAAGTGAACTTCTTGTGATTCGCCGCCCCTCACAAACCAAAAGGTTAAACAGCAGGTGGTTGTGGACTCTGACTCTTATCTGCTCCCTTACAGAGTGCACACTTAGGATTACTTGTAAATGCACTGATCTCATCATTTTAGACTTTGGTAAATCAAAATATACCAGCATTTACATAATGCTTTTCTAGGCCACTTAAAGCCCTTTAGACGATATGAACTATATATGTTTTTACTGTTTAGAAAAAGTTGGGGAGTTTTTGTACAAACTAAAAATAGATCTACCCTTTAGTTAACAAAAACCATTTCACGTTTCTGACAGCCAATAAATCCAAATCCAGAATGATGTAAAACAGGCATAAATAAATGTTGTATTCTTATGTCAAGCTTTAATTGTTTTGGGAGTTTGAATGTGTGACATTTGGATTATGAATATACTGCCACTGTATATTAGTTATGGCTAGATTTATTGGCTGGATGAAGAGTGCTTTTCCAGCCAGACAGCAGTGGTTGAGAGACCAGACACTGCAGACTTACAGCAGCTGCTAAGCCTGTTTTTCCATAGACCTAACTGAAAGAGCTTCTCTGCTGGGATGAGAGCCTCCACTTCACTGCAATGAATAGCTGTCCAGCTGCACTTAATTTATGCACGTGTGTGTTTCTGAGTGCAAATGAGGCTGGGTTTCTGAATCTTTTGTCCGCCTTTCTTATCCTCCGTGTGATTCACAGGAAATTAACATGACAACCCAACCAAAATACAGTACCTTGCCAGTATGGCATTGTTTACGTCAGCTAATAAAATCTCTAAACTTTACACCAAATGCATGAGGGAGATGTCCTGCTTTGTCGCCAGAAAACAGGATGGTATTGGAAAATTTGCCATTCAGTGTTTAATTACAGCCTTGACTTCTACCAACTATTTACAGAGAATCAACATGGTGATCGATCTTTAAATAATTTTTGTTTTGTAGTAATTCCCCGGGTTTTGCCCTTTCCCTTTAGTTTTAGCTAAAGTCCACGGTCACTCCCTGCCAGGCTGCGGCAGGGAGTGATTTATCATTTATCATTATGCAAGTTTCTGGAAATAAATAATTAAATGACAATCTTTTCTTAAGTTGGGCACAATTTTTCCAAATTCTGAGTAATCATGATCTCAGTATCAAACAGAATAATTGAATTATGATTTTTTTATTTTTTATTCTTCTGTTATGTTTGTTTAATCATCAACTTCAGTATGCGTGCAGAGTGGCTGTACAAAGAGCAAGTCAGCAGCTGATTGTGTGGAAAGACCTTTACCTACAATCCTCAGCCACTCCATAGTGAATCATTATTTTATGTCTGAAATGTTGGCTTGAGGCTACTGCTGTTTCTTTTTCTTGGATTTAATTTTTAACCAAAAAAACTTTTTCACACATAGCTGAGGCCTCTGGCTTTTTTGCTCCTTAATTAAAGGTGCTAGATTTTTAATTAAGGGCTGTTAACTCGCTACCATTTTGTGAGCATCATCCAGTTAGCAGTTATTTCCTTAAATAGTTCAATATTTTTTTTCCATTGAGTTCATTTTTGCAATGATCCAGCTCAAATTCGCCTTTTTATTTTCCTCTGCGCTGTCATATATAAACCATTACAATGGTGCTCATATTAAACATGGCCAGAAATAATGAGCAGTACAAGTATTCTCCAAGATCCAGGAGCCCAAGCTTCAGTCTGCAGTAATTGCTCAGTTTCTGACAGTCTGTGTAGAAACTTGATATGATCATCTGAAGTATGGAGGTCCTCCTACCTCGTGTTGGTCTTTTGTTTGTGAGGGGCAGCATATAAAAAGGAAGCTACCTTAAATTCAAGGTAGCTTATTAAGGGATTGGAGCTAAAAGGGTTGTTTTTTTGCCTGTGGATGACCTGAAGAGCTAAATGAAGGCCCAGTGAAAATAATTAAGGATTATGAGTGAGTAGAAATGTCACAGTTCACAATACCAGCTGTCGCTTTTGTACTATAACACCGTTCTCAGAACAAAATTGCAAACAGAAGGCAGAGGACTCTTGGGGTTTTTCGTGGACCAATCCTAACCCTTTAAAATGTTAAATTCAGCTTGCTTGTCCCTTTAAGTTCTATATTTGGTTCCATTTTTGCGGTTACACTCGACAGCACCTGCAAACTAACAAGCTAACACAGAACACACCAGAAAGAAAAGTTTATACTGAAGGTAGATGTGAGACCTCCCATTTGCCCATGAGACAACATCTATTTTCAAAGAACAAAATTTGTGTTGTCATTTTGATGTTTCAATTCAAACACCAGTAAAAGCAAAGTTTCAGACAGAGCGCAGAGGCATCAAGAGTGGCTCAGCTGAAATCTGCAGCACAAAACACACTGTTTCTTTGAGCCCAATCCTAAAATGGTACAGCTGTAATGGTTAGTTTAGTTTTTATGTGCAGTCAGTTTGATGGTGGAAAGCTGTGCTGTAAGATACAGGCGAAACACATGATTAAATATTGCTTTCTAATGTTTCTCTTCTTCAATTTTTTCTTTTTAAGTCGAGCCTTCTTATCCCATTGAGCTGTCATTTCATGAGAGAAGAGGCTAGAAAAGATTTGTAGACGTAAGAGTAAGAACAAAATTTAGTTGGTTTTTGTTAGTTGGTTTTTTAACTTTAGTTTAACTATAGTTTTTAACTATAGTTTTTAACTATAGTTAAAAACTAACTAATATTACTGGAGGCTATCAGGATTCAGGCAGTGTGGCCGTCTTGTTAAACTGTAATCAGGGTGTGTTGTTTTGCTTGATGGCTGCTAACACTTGTTTGTGGACTGATTGAGGGATTTATGTGAACGAAACTGTGTCTAAAAATCAGAGCTACACACAGTGAATCTGAAATGACTTACTGTATACAGTGCACCCCAAATATACAGACATGGACAAAGCTGTTGATACCCTTCCACAAATCAGACCACAGTGATCTCCAGTACAATGATCTCTGTGTTTCACAATGACTCGTCTGCATTTGCCAACAAGTAGTTTGGCTCACTCTTCCTGAGTAACTGTCAAGTGCTCTTTTGAGGGACGGTGTCTCCACACTGCAATTCTCAGATTTTTCACATAATGTGCAATAGAAGGTTAAGATCCTGGCTCGTGGAGGGCCATTTAAGAATAGTCCAGTGTTTATTTCTCAGCCTTTCTTGAGTGCTGTTAGCTTTTTTGGTTTTGGGCCATTATCCCATTGCAGTATTTTTCACCTTGGTAGCCTTGGCCGTTCATTTTGCCCTGCACAGGTTCACTGTGCCAGATGCCCCAAACCCACCACCCCCACCCCTTTTCAACAGTGAGGTGTTATTTTCTTTTAAAGCATCATTTTTCCACCTGTAAACATAGAACTGATCTGAGTGGCCAAAAAGCTTCAGTTTTGTGTCATCAGTCCAAAGGACTTTGGGGCTTGTCAACATGCATTTTGCTCTTGTGTCTTTTCTGTCAGTAGTGGAGACCAAGTGTAGTTCAAAATGTGATGGATGGTGTGATCAGAAATGACGTATGTTGACCTTGGAGTTCAGCTTGAATGGTTTTGGATGATTTCTTTCCATTTCCACATCATAGGAGGTTGACTGCAGTCCCATGAACCTTATATTTGTAATAGCCTTAGTCTTATAGCCTTTACCATTTTAATGTAGATGCTTCTTTCTGAGCTCTGCAGACGGCTCTCTGTTGCTTTCTCGAGTCAGTGTTCTGGTCAAACATTTAAAAGAATCAGAGAAGATCATCAGGCATTTGAAGTTGCACAGAGGTCACGCTGCTGATCTTTTCGGTAAGGTAGTTGAAGATTCCTTCCAAATCTGCTGCTAGTAGAAAATTATGGTGCATGCGGTTCTAGCCATTCCCCTTTCCCATATTTAATCACAGTAATTGGAGTATCCACAGATGCTTCAACTGCAAATTTTAGTAAAATATTTCAGGTTATTTCAGGCCATCGCTGTGTGAAGGGCTCTGTGTGATAGTGGAATAACTGATTGATTTTATTTATTTTTTCTTTTAAATGTAGCGATTCAGAGTAGAGGCATTTCCCAGGCACTAAAAATAAAGATTGGATAAATGAAGGCTTCTGTATGCACCTCTGACTGTTTCTTTATAGTAAATGGAGGAATGTCATTTGATTTGTAAAGGCTTAGCTTTGTAAACTGTACAGCATTTTTAATCTGTAAAAGATTTATAACTATTCACTTTGAAATAAATTCACTTGGACTGCTTCCAGCAGTGCACTCTTGCTAGAATCTCAACCTATAATCAGCTCTGTCAGTGTGACTAAAATGTAGGCTTTAAGAATCTATAGCCAGAGTTTATGACCACACTGAGAAAATCGATCTCTGTTTCTACTATATTAACCTTTTTAACAGTTATTTAGACATCATCCAGGGTTCCATTTTTGTGCTATAAGTAACATTTTCGTGACAAAGCTTTGCAAAATGCTTCCAAATATGGTATTTCTGTTAAGGCTGCCAGTTGAGCTCAGTTTTGTTTCCGTTTCCCTGAAGTTAAACTTTACCTGCGTTTCACAGTGTTGCGTAATTTCAAGTGTGAGCAGCAGGGTTCTCTGGGAAATGCCAAACACTGCATGTGGATGACGTGTTTTTGCGGATAACTTTTCATGTGCTGGAACCATAAATGTCTGAGTCTTTTTGATGTCTGTCTTTACCGTCTTCTCTATAGACATGACCTATTTTTTATGAATATTCAACATTTCAAAGATATATTTTCAAAAGTACCTCCCCTGTGATGTCGAGGAGGCCTTTTTTTAATCTGTCTTTATTCTTTCTGTGTCTTCCTTGTAGTAAGCATGTTTCTCAACACCCTGACGCCCAAGTTCTACGTGGCCCTGACAGGTACTTCCTCCCTCATATCAGGACTCATATTGGTAAGATGTGCTTCATTCTTTATATTTGTTGATTGTTGAAGCTGATACTAGTTTAAATTCATTATAAATAAAGCAGTAATTTTTATTTGCAAAGTTGGAGTGTTTAAGTTGGCTGCCCTGTTTATACTTAAGCATACAAATATCAAATATAAATAGTGTTGAAACCTCCTGCTGTTAAATGGATCTATTTTTTTAAGCAAAAATCACATCCTTGATGAATCTCACTTAATCACTGTGTGCTTTTACTTGACATTCTCTTTCATGTTAAAAGGAGAAAATTAATTTTCAGAGGTGGCCCCCTGGTGATTTTATGAGTCTGGGATATAATTTGTTAGGGCTTTAATCACACATTCACAGGTCATATAAAGCTGAAATGAAAGGATATCAAGCCTCATTTGGTCCTCCATGAGATTATCTCCCTGCACTATCAGTGTTTATTCTGCTGCCTGGTGCATCAGAATGCAACACACTGAATGTTTTTGTGCTTTTTAAATTACCGAGAACACGTGCTGGGTTGTTTTGTTTGGGATGTGGAAAAAGATGAGAATAGAACTCTCTATTGCTGTGCATTAAACAAAAGACGCTCCAAGTATTTCATCTCTTTTTCAGGTTCTTCACAGAGACGGCAACTGTGTAACAGTGGTTGGTGCACAGTTTAAAATAGCCCCTCTCTTAATTAACTCACTCTCTCTTCCCCTGCGGGCGATTGGCCAGTGTGCGTAGGCTGCTTGGAAATGGTGTTGAGCTCTGCACATGCTCTGTGAAATTATTTAGAAATGTGGATGCCAGTTGGTTTCATCGAAGCAATAGTCTTCGTTTCTCTGTAAGTGGGAGAGATGTTCCAATTAGCTCGTTTTCCAAGATTCCTGTAGGAGCCCCATCAAAATTTGTCATTTCCTCCTTCAAGCAGAGGCTCCACAGTACATCGGCTTTAGCAGTCGGCAGTCTGTACAACTCGTAAAATAATCACGTTTCGATATTAGTACTGGAGTCCTTCTAGAAGCAAATCTCACCATATGGAAATGCCTTCAGGCACTTGTTTGAGTTATTTTGAATGATCTAAACTGAGTTGGTCGTTGGTCACTGGAACACAACTGTGTGTACAGAATCACTAGTCAAGTTAAATTTAAATTTTCCAATCGATGTTATTTTTTTAAATTTATTTTATTGTTGAGTGCCATGTTTTGTCTGCTAAATTCCATCCAATCAAAGAGCAGGTTTCACTGATTGGATCCTCTCCTTTGGCTGAAGGTGGTAATTGGTGAAGTATACCCGGGGCCTCTGTGTCACAAGCTTGACTCCCATTGATACAGGGTTAATCAGCCCACACTCAGATTACAGTAATAAAGATGTGTTAAAACAGATGGAGAATAGCGACTATTTAAGCTAGCTGCTGGAGGTCTCAGCTTTACTAGCTAGTAATTGTCTTTACTTTGTTCTGTTTAAAAATCGTGTGGCTGGCATTGAAAGTAGATTTACTCCCATTTTAAGCAGGTTAAAGAGAGAATTATTTTAAGAGGTGCTAATTTAAGAGGAATGTGCACAAAAAATGTGAACACTTGAATGTATCATCTTCACTGAATGAGCAGCTAAGTGAATGAGTTTCTTTCCGTCTTTCTTTCTTTCAGATCTTCGAGTGGTGGTATTTCAGAAAATATGGGACCTCCTTCATAGAGCAGGTGTCTGTGAGCCACCTGCGCCCCCTGCTGGGAGGAGTGGACAGCAGCTCTCCCAGTAACTCAAACGCCAGTAATGGGGAGGCTGACTCCAGTCGGCAAAGTGTGTCTGGTAAGAGCTACATTTGTGATCTGCTTATAGGAAAAGATTGCAAAAAGGTGACTTGGTCTCCCACCGAAAGAGCGGAGTGGAGGAGAGGGGATGCCTGGATGCATCTGCTTAGACTGCTGCTCCACTAACCTGGAAAAGCAGCAGAAAATGGATTTGTTTGTAGATGCATTAAGATCTGGAAAAATACAATTCTTTAAATAAATGTACTGTTAGAACTGTAAGCAGTACAAGGCAGTCTAAGAAATTAAAGCTTGTCTAGAAGCATCTTCCACAGCCAGAGTGAGCTGTGTGAGCGTCTTGACTTCTCCATTAGTGATGCTTTGATCTTGGTTAATCTGTTGAATGTATATTTGCTCGTCTGTGAAGTCTTTCATTTCAAAAGAGGAAAATGTCTCTGCTGAATAATTCCCTTGGTTCCTTTGCCAGTGATAAGGGAAAACGTTTATGCTACATAAGCATATACATAATGCAGCATGAGTCCCAGCCTGCTTTAGTCCAGACAGCCTCTGTCTAAAAGAATCAGAACCAAATACGAGTTGCAGTGACAGTTTGGTTAAATGAGCTCACCCAGTCAGTTTAACGGCGTGTTTTCGAGGGTTCGGTCGTTGAACACTTTGTGGAGACGTGATGCAGCCGCTTTTGTTTTCAGCCAAACAACTTTGAGTGAAATAGGATTATGTGTGCTCAAGTGTACTAATCCTCCGTTTGCTGGCTAATAATCTGCTCTGTGAAAATCTCTCGGCTCAATTCAGAGATGGATGTCGCAGCTTAATATTTGTCTTTGTCACAGACGGTTTTCAGTGAAGACCCGTGATTGATTAGTCATGGTTCTGGAATTGAATGTGGTAAAGCGTGAATTTTGTGCGTGTAGTATTGATTTATTTCTAATTTGACTTTGGAATTCTGTTTTATTGTCAGTGAGAGGCTTTTGTATGTTTGTTTAGGCAGGACAGTTTGTTATTCAGTCAGTACAAAAATCAGTGAATAAACACATAAGAAATAATTATGTTAATTAAGAAAAGTCGTTAGTAATAGAATATGAGTTTTGCGATGTGTGTTGGGTTTTCATGGATATTTTATGCATCTTCTTTAAAAAAGTCAATCAAATAATTTAAGTGAGCTCCTTATTCTGATTTCCAGCTTAATCTTTTTATTCTTAAACTCTAAAAGAGGAGCTTTGCATAACTCAAAATTCAAAATAATCTGTATTTATCTTCTACTGGGCCTTGGTGCAGGTCATCCACTATGTAAAAGAAGACATTTTCTCTTTGCTTTTTAAGCGTTTGTGCTTGAGATGACCATGTTAGTGATATCTCCTCTCATATCTTGACATCATAAAGATCCAAAAGTAGGCGGAAGCAGTCAGTCTGCAGTCTGAGCTTTAGGCTTCCAGGGATTACTGCACATTTGAAACTTTTGCTCTCATAATTTTCTCAAAACTCAATCCTGAGTGACACAGTGAGGGGACGTCTCGGCTCACGCAGAGCTCTTTTAGTTGGTTGAGCAGCACTTGTCATGTTGATGTTTGATATCAGCGCACGGTAAGCCACACATCTTATTGGTGCATACATATTATAAAAACCCATATAGTTAAGCCCTGTACCAACATCGATGTGTTCAGTGCCATCAGCTCAAACACAGGCTTGCCAGCAGTGTAGGTTTGTGCAGGAGCCTGTTTGGTCACTGAGGAGTTAGAAGGCCTTTCCTCTGTCAGCCATGCTCTCACACAGATCCACGTGCCAGTCAGGGAGCTGCAGGGTAGAGATGGCAGAATGCGCAGTCGAACCCTTTGAAGTGTGCCGAGTAAGCTCAGTGCCAACTTTGCCCTTGACACTCATCACTACTGTTGTGCTCTTTGTGTCTCCCTTCTGCAGAATGTAAAGTATGGCGAAATCCACTGAATTTATTCCGCGGAGCCGAATATAATCGGTGAGTGACAACAGCAAAGCAACCTGCATCTGAAGTCCAGCTCACTTGGAGTCAGTTTTCCTCTGACTTTTCCATCGTTCTTTCTCATCTGTGTCTTCTCTCGTTTGCTTTTCCAGTCTTTCAGGTCTTTCTCGTGTCAACTTTCCTGCCTCTTGAGTGTCATCAGATTTGTTTTGGTCTTTATTTTCTCTCTTGTGCCTTTGTGTGATTTTATTTTTATGTCTTTCCCCCTACTGATTTGTCTGTCTCTATTATGTGCCATTCTTCTTTTGTTATCTTTTTGATGTCTTTGCCTGTGTTCCTTCTGTTGAGTCATCCCCCACTTTTTGATTCCTCATGTTGTAATTATCCAGTTTTTCTCTTCAGCCGTAAACCCGCCAATCAGAATTGTTTTCTGTTTGAGCTTTAGCAGAGATGCATCATTCATTTTTTGTGTTTTGGAAAGGTTTAAGTCAGTAGCTTATTATTAAAGCGTGTTGTTCTGTCTGTGCTGGTGTCCAGGTATACTTGGGTAACAGGTCGAGAGCCGCTGACATATTATGACATGAACCTGTCAGCACAAGATCATCAAACCTTCTTCACCTGTGACTCAGACCACCTCCGGCCTGCTGATGCCAGTAAGCACACACACATTCATACATATGGTGTGTTTATAACCATGTGATTTGATTTAAGTGCGGAGGGCGTAATGTGTGACCCCTTTGACATATTAATATGTTAATATGTTTCTCTGTGTGGTGGCAGTCATGCAGAAGGCGTGGAGAGAAAGGAACCCACAGGCTCGCATCTCTGCAGCACATGAAGCTCTGGAGCTTGAAGAGTGAGTTTAAAATTATGTCATGGGTTGAAGGTGTTAATAAAAGCAAATTGTAATAATCTTAAAGAGAGTCTAGCTACTCTGCAGCTATCTCGGTAGATGTCAAGGCAGTTTTCTGAGATCCATGTCTGAATGAATTTGGAGAGAGCCATGGTCTGTATATCAGAAGTCATTAAAAAAGAACAAAACAAGAATGGCACACAGTATAGAACGATAAAGGCTAGGGATGGGTATTGATAAGATTTTCACGATTCCGATTCCATTTTCGATTCTGTTTAACGATTCGATTCTCTTATCGATTCTTTTTTTAAAAAAGGAGAACACTAAGGTC